GAAGTCAGACACTTAACCAACTGAGCCACCCAGGTGCCCCAGGAGCAAACAAACCTTTTAAAATCTGTGCCTGCTCTCCACTAAGATTTTTATTTAGATTTTTGACCCCTATATTTATGTGTATGATTTACAACATGTAATGTCTCCAGCAGATTCTGAAATTAAGTAGTATTTTTACAGCTGTGTTTCACACACAGCTTAGTGCTCGATGAACGCTAACCACTCATATGCCTACCGCGTACTGGATGCCAAGGGTCTTGCGATGCACTGCTTCCTCTATCCCGCATCCTGTACCCTTCCTCCATCACAACACTTGTTGAAGACACGCATTTCCCAGCTTTCACAGACTAAGGAGACTACAGCTCCGACGTTAAGTCACTTACTCGTGGTCACACAGTTAGGTGATGGCTGAGCTGGGATCTGAACCCAATAACCGTCGCGGTATAATCCAAACACACCACAAAGCTCACCAAAGGGAAGAAACATGGCACAGGGTCACTGTAAGAAGACATAGGAGAAGAGGCGCCTGGGTGGCTTGGCTGATCAAGTGTCCAACTCTTGGTTTCGGCTCAGGTCATGATGTCATGGTTTTGTGAGACGGAGCCCCGCCCGTGTTGGGCTCTCTGCTGGCAATGCGGAGCCAGCTTGGGATTCTCTCTCTCCCAATCTCTGCCCCTCCTCCGCTCACGCCTGTCTCTGTCTCTCTCCAAATAAACAAAGTCTTACAAAATAAATCAAAGATAAAGAAAACTAAATAATTTTTTTTTAAAGCATGGGGGGGGGGCGGGAAACTGTGGTGGAAAATAATGAAATCTCAAGTAGGATTCTACTGATGGGACGGTTACTTACCATGTAATAGCCTGGCAGTAGCTTCTGAAGGAACTCAGCTTCTTTATGCTGAACAGTTTTGATGATAAATTCATCATCGCTGGTCACAAAAAACAAGGATCCACTGGCTCCGGGGTTGGACAGCTCTATTAGAGGTTCACTACAGATGGAATACTACAAGAGTAGATAAATAAATGATTAAAAATACATTTAGCATATATGATGCTTCCAAGGAGGAAAATCATAGGATTATGATCTTGGCCATTCTGAAACAGGAAGTTCTCTTCCATGAGCTTCCAAAGGAGGTTCCATGTACATTAAGAGGGCTCTCTGGGATTTCTAAAAATTTAATTGATGCATTTATCTTAATGATTCTATGACAAACAGAAACGCCTTCTCACCTCCAGTGTCATATGACAGAATCATGAATCATCAGGTCTTTCCAACAAACTAATGTCAACAGTACTGTTGTCTAAGGTGTTTTGTTTTCGCCAAGTGCCCATAAAATAACGACTGAAGGTACAACTTATACTGTGTATTTGTCACTTGAACACTAACACCTATTCTATTTGCTTTCCCAAAAGATGTCATCCATGCATGGTTTCAACACCTGTAGCTCCAGCCCAGATCTCTATAATGCTCCAGACCTGTACGCCTAACTTTTAAAAAAATTTTTAATGTTTATTTATTTTTGAGAGGCAGAGACAGAGCAGGAGTGGGGAAGGAGCAGAGAGAGAGGGAGACACAGAATCCGAAGCAGGCTCCAGGCTCTGAGCTGTCAGCGCAGAGCCCGACGCGGGGCTTGAACTCACGAACCACGAGATCATGACCTGAGCTGAAGTCGGTGCTTAACTGACGGAGTCACCCAGGCGCCCCTGTATGCCTAACTTTTTCAGTAGATATTTCTATTTGGTTACACCATGAGCACTTCACTTGTAACAAGTTCAAAGTCAAATTCATCTCAGGGCTATGGTCAGCCCCTATGATGCCTCTGTAGTAACTAGAAAGAGGTGCTTTTCTTCTGGAAGAAGGAGCTCTGGGTCAGATACAAGGCTGATAAGTAAAAGAAAGGCTGGGTTCCAGCCTCTACTTCTTCAGCTTAGCCAGGTATTCTTAGGCAGTACACACCCTAAACAACTATACATGGCAACTCTACATCATGTGCATCCCTTCAACCTCTTTCTTTCCCCTAATTCAAGGATCGGAAACATTATTTATTCTGTTCCCAAACCAGAAACTTGGGCATCAACCTTGATGCCCCCCCTTCCCTCATCTTTCGTACCCAGACTAGCGATGGTATCTGCCGGCTTCACGCCATTCTTCGCTCATACCGTAAATTCAGTGGTTTTACATCATGTCTGGATTGCTATGGGAGACTCCACCTTGCCTCAACTATCCACTCTCCATTTCTCTCCTGCATTTTCCACCAGGAAACTGGAGATCTTTCTAAGATGCCAATCTGATCAAGCCCTTCCATGCCCTCACATCTTTCGATGGTTTCCGACGTCTGGATAGATGAGAACACCCAAATCCCTTAACAGAGCTTTCAAGGCCATGCATGGCCCCACCTGTCCTTCCAACCTTCTCTTTCATCACTTCCCTCCTTAAAATCTAGCTTTAGCCACGAAGAGGTGCTTCCCATATTCTCAAATGTGCCAGCGACACTCACCTACGAGGATTCTGCATTTTCCTTTATCCCAAACAACTTCCATTCTACCTTCACCGGGCTGACTATTACTCATTCATGTATTCATTTAACACTGAGAAAACTTCTGCTGAGCATCTGTTACGTCTCAAGCACTCATGAAGCTTAGAGCCCAGGAGGAGAAAACAGACGGTAACCAAGTAAATCAATTATACATCAGAACGCAGTAAGTGCTGTGGAGAAAGATGAGGCACGGAAAGGGGGCAGAGTCCCAGCCGTGACTGAGGACTGGGCTGCGGTAAACTTCAAGAAGGCTGGGTCACTAAAGCCTCACTGTGGGGGGGAAGGGGTGGGGACTTGAGCAGAGGCCTGGGCTGTCTGGGGGAAGGGCGTGTCAGGGAGAGGGGAGCTCCAAATGCAAAGGTCTTGAGATCTGGGGATCTCAAGGCACAGCCAGGGGGCCAGTGGCTGGAGCAGAGTGAGCAGGGAGGGCTGCAAGGAAAGGGGCCAGAGGGCAGGTGGGCCAGACCGCACAGGGCGGCACGGGTCACTGCAAGGACTTGGAACTTTGCTCTAAGGGAGCTGAAAGCCGTTGGAAAGTCTGGAGCAGAGGACCGACCGCTCCGTCCACCGTGCTGAGAAGCCACCGCAGGTGGACATAAGGAACACGCAGGGTGCACAGCAAGGGAGCGGCCGTGGGACGTCGCGTGCAGGGACGCGTGTGGGACTGGACAGCACTTACTCTGGAGCCCTCTTCCCGCTCCTGCTTCCTGGCACCACATCTCTGGTTCTCATCACGGAAGTGACCACAAAACCCCTCACGTGCCTGTTCAGGATCCCGAGTCCCCACCAGCCTGCAGAACTCCACAAGGGCACCGGCTACTCGTACCTTATGCGGTGACACAGGGCAGGATCGGTGCCTGGCACACAGCAGGCACGACACGAGTTTTCGCCAGACGAAGGGCTGAACTTCACCAATTAAGGTGAAGGGCTGTCGATCTCACCCAAAACGTCAAAACAAACCCAGAAGAGAAGTCAATGTCTGGTTACGGAGCTCAGTGTTCACGAACCGAGGATCCCCATTACTGACTTAGAGAAACACCGAGGGTAGACAAAAAGGTCAAGACCCAGCGTGTGAGATGAGACCAGTCCTGGCGAGGGGCAAAGAGGGGGTTTAAACAGTCGCACCCTAAGGGTGGAAATGTTGGCAACATCGCCCAAAGCTTTCTACCTGGGCTTCTGGATATTTAAGTGTCCATCACAGAAAAGGCTGAGAGGAGGGAGTAGGAGGTGGGGGAGTGGGGGACAAGGAGAGGGGAGGGAGAAACCGGGAGAAAAAACAATTAAAAGGCAGTTCTAACTGGTGACTTTAAATTCTCTTGCTTCGGCAGCACGTGGATGAGGGAAACACAATTTTCCAAGAAAAGAAAGAAGTAACTGCATGCTGCCTTCTATCTTCTCCTTCTTTCCTCCAGGCTTGCTTTTTCTTTTTCATGTGGATTTATTTATTTTGAGAGAGAGAAAGAGCACACGCAAGGCAGGGGTAGGAAGAGAGAGAGACAGAGAGACCGAACGTATCCCAAGCAGGTTGTGTGCTGTCGGCACAGAGTCCCTGACGAGGGGCTCGATCTCTTAACCGTGAGATCGTGACGTGAACCGAAATCAAGAGTCGGATGGGTAGCGGACTGGGCCACCCAGGCGGCCCCGGGCTTGCTTCCTGAGGCTTTCTTGCTGAGCAGCATTAGAATGCTTTGGTCATTACGAGTGATGCAGAGACGAGGAAAAATAAGAATGCACAAAGGATGCCGTAAAAGCCCAGCGGAAGCAGAGGGTGCTTTCCTGCCGTGGGTGCAGGATCCACCTGGAGAGCTGGTTGAGTGTGAAGGGCGTGGGACTTGGAATCACCTTTTTTCACATCACGGCTCTGCCAGCGGCCACCTCAGCGACCTGGAGGAAGTACCTTGGCATCTCGGAGTCCAAGGAACCTCATCTCTGAAACAAAGACACTAACGTCTACAAGAAAGCAGCTGAAGGTTTTCAAAGGGGATGCTTTCCAAAACCCTGGCAAAGAGTGACCACGTACCTACTGCTGTTCTTCCTTCCTTCCTTCCTTCCTTCCTTCCTTCCTTCCTTCCTTCCTTCCTTCCTTCTTTTTTTTAATGTTTGTTTATTTTTGGGAGAGAGAGGGAGGCACAGAAGCCGAAGCAGGCTCCAGGCTCCGAGCAGTCAGCACAGAGCCCGACGTGGGGCTCGAACTCACGGACCGTGCGATCATGAAGTAAGCCGAAGTCTGATGAGGCTTAACCGGCTGAGCCACCCAGGTGTCGCTAAGGATTTAATGCTGGGCTATGTCTTATCACATGACCACACACAGGCGAGTGAGTCCACACCGTCTAGGCGAGGAAAAACTGGTGCCTCAAGATGTACTAAGGGTTTCGGCTGAGCTCCAGCAACCAGGAGGCTACCCGAAGATCCGCTGGGACACAGTGAATCAAGGAGAAGAATGGGTCTCTCGTATAATCATAGATTTGAGACATTGGAAAATAAAGGTGTGGACCCCAAGCTCTTCTAAAGAGCGAAGGCAGACCCCAGACTCTCTTTAGGAATTCTGATTCTTTGTTTTACGGGCTCTGAATTCCCTGCACAGAGCCTTCCTACAGACAGGAGTTAATGTTGTGGAAGTCGAACAACAACACAGAATGCAGAAATTAGAGGCTGCAAATAGAGAAATTAGGGGGTGATTCAGGAAGAGCGGTCGAGAGAAAACTGGATTCAGACCTAATCATCTGCTTCTAATTAAAGCCTCAAATTCTTCTAGAAGCAGTGACATTATAGGGAAAATACTTCATTGGTTACTTGTCAAATCCTCCTTTAATAGGTAATTTATACATTGATATGCAGGGAAAAATAAATCGCTTTGGCATTTCTTAATAACTCGCTGGGGGTCACTACCAGCAGTGCAGTGGTGTGCAACAAACTGGCATTTTGATATCAACCAGGAATATTACCGTCCTCATGTATAATCCCGTGATACCTCACCCTATCACTTGGTTACCACGCTCCGCGCTAAGCAACCTGCTCTGAAACGTTGCCATTTAAGAGCAAATAAAGAGGAGAGACGGGAACATTTTAATTAGCCTTGATCAACAAGGCCCCACGTGTACCCTGCGTTTTATGTACCTCCTTTCAGGCTCTCTCTTCTGTGCAAGCTGTTCCGATGCGTTCATTGTCTCCCTTCTATTTCCTGTAGGGCCTCCTGACTATTCCCGCTGGAAAAAACTACAAAGTGCAATCCAGCTGCCCCCCCCCACCCCCCAATGCCC